GAATCTTTAACGAAATTTTTGTGATTAACTCCTCAATTGTGATGTTTCTCTTCAAGGTTAAGGGGATATAATGATCTGACTCAAAAACAACCCCCTCTTCAGCTTCCTTAATTTCTCCATCATACAAAACAACAGCAGAAAGACGACTCATTTTCAGAGAATTTGAGAATTTAGAGTTTGGGAATTTGAGAATTTGAAAGATTGTGAACTGAAGTTTGTTTTGAAAGTTTATAATACGTTGCATATAATAGTTTCTATAATCGGTTCACTATTCACGTGAAGGCGCGTTCCCGGGGGTGCGCCTTCCATTATTTCGTCAGAGAATATTATCATTGCCCTATTATGTCATTCATGTCCCTCGGGACACTAGATATATCAGTACCTATTATTTCACTATTCACGTGAAGGCGCGTTCCCGGGGGCGCGCCTTCCATTATTTCGTCAGAGAATATTATCATTGCCCTATTATGTCATTCATGTCCCTCGGGGACACTAGATATATCAGTACCTATTATTTCACTATTCACGTGAAGGCGCGTTCCCGGGGGCGCGCCTTCCATTATTTCGTCAGAGAATATTATCATTGCCCTATTATGTCATTCATGTCCCTCGGGGACACTAGATACACCTTGGATCACTTCTGAACGTTGGGGATAATTAGAGAAGATATTATAGCCGTTTTAGTGTGAAAACATTTAATAAAACAGCTTGGACAGTGGGGGGAATCGGTTCCCTCTCATAGGGAATCGGTTCCCTAAGTGTAAAATTCAAATATTTCGACCGTTGAACAAGGGGGGAATCGGTACCCCCTTGGGGGGAATCGGTTCCCTCCGAGCATTCTGGAAATCTCGGAGCCAAACCATTCAGGGGGGAATCGGTTCCTCCTATGGGGGGGAATCGGTTCCCTCTGAGTAATCTGGAATTTTTGGCTTTGAATTGGTTCGAAATACTTTATAAAATATTTTGAAATTGTTTTATGATTAAAACTTAATTTTACACTTAATTAAGGATCAAAAATGATTTTTGAAATATTTGGAGTAATGTTTTGATATTCGAATAGTTATATCGAATATACTTAGAAAATCATTTGGAAAATCTTAAAATCCATTTAACTTAATTTGTTATATCGAAATATTAAAATGTTTCAACAAGTACCTATTATTTCACTATTCACGTGAAGGCGCGTTCCCGGGGGCGCGCCTTCCATTATTTCGTCAGAGAATATTATCATTGCCCTATTATGTCACTCATGTCCCTCGGGGAATAACTTAAATTTAACTTCTTTTGAATGTTCAACAAGTTAAGAATAACTTAAATTAAAACGTTATGTGAAGTTTGAATAAATTAGATAAAATGTTATTGATAAATTGAATAAATGTGAAGTGATAAGTTGATTGTGACATTGAAATTGTATGGAATGAGCATTGAAATGTGACATTGAATAAATTGCCAATTCACCCCCCTCTTGGTTGATTCCGTCGATCGATGAACTCAACATAAGTTGATTTTAATGTATACGTTTTAATATATATGTTAATGATAAAATCATATGTATGGAGTCCTTTAATTTCAATTTAAGTATTGTGAACTATAATTGGAATATAACTTTTAATTTCGAATACAATTGGAATATTAAGTTGAAATTTAATGTTAAATATCGAATACTATAATTTATATTTTAAATTTAAATTTGAATAATATTATTTTTATTTTTATTTTAAATTTCGAATAATATAATTTGTATTTTAAAAACATTTATCAAACATTTAATGTGAATAAAAAATAACATAAAAAATATGTATGTAACAACCATGAAACATTTAAATAACATAACCAAATTACATAAAATTCTGAAATTTAATTATTTAAATAACATTAAATATAACTGGATCACCGATGTCGTCGTCTCGAATGAGTTCCACATGGCGGTGGTTGCCTATTTCGTGGAGGATTTCTTCGTGGAACTTGTTCTTCAGTCTCCTCATCTTCACTATCATCATCAGCAGCATTTTCTTCATTTGGTGCAGATGACGCTGAAGGGGCTGAAGGGCCTGTATAAAATAACGACCCTGGAGGAGTGCTAGTAACAATCCCACCGCTCCCCGGGAACTGTGGAAACTGTGGAAACATTGGCATCGATGTATGTGATCCAGATGAAGATTGAGGTGTCTGCGGAGAAGCACCACCAGCCAATAAGATGCATATGAAGCATATGCTGGATCATTAAACATAGTCGTATATGCACCTCCATATGGTATAAAACCCTGCGGGCTAGGCATGTAACCTGGCGGGCTAGGAATGTAACCCTGCGGGCTCGGAATGTAACCCTGCGGAGATGGCATATAAACTGGTGGGCTTGGCATATGAAGTGGAGGGCTGGGCATGTACCCCTGCGGCATCGACGAATAAGGATGTTGTGGTGGGACTGATGCAGAACCGGTAGCGCCTTCTCTCCGTCCACGCGTCGGGGGACGATGATATTGAGACGGTTGACGTCTTTCTCGGCGCCTAGGAATGTTAACCCCTCGTGCTTCCGCCGAAAGTAGAAACGGCTTCCCATTTTCATTAAACCAGTCCATATAGTTATCCGTAACCATATGACCAGTTTCAGCGTAATATTGTCGAGGGGCCAACAGTGTATATCGGTTCTCCCAAAGCGCAATCCAATCTCTGTGTCTCACCACCCAGTTAACATCTTTCTTTCCCCGTCTATCTATGTTATGCACGTCGTCTAAATTTCTAGGAGCTCCAGGAATATATTGCGTACAACCATACTGACGGAGCACGCGATCAACTGGATGCCACTCAATAATAGCATAACATATAAGAGGTATAACCGATATCCATACCTCTAATGACCCTCTAAGGTGGGGTGGGATGCAAGCTTTCACTTCATCGCTCGCATAAGGTATCCACTGAAACTGAAATATAAATATACAATTCAAATAAATAAAATATTCTAATTATATCTAACATTTTAAATTAAAATATTAATAATTAAACAAATTTAAAAACATACCTCAGACCCAGTTTTCGTATCAATAAGTAAACGAATTTCCTCTAAAACAATAGGTATACTTTTATGGTCCTTTCTTTTCATCGACCACCTATGAAATATAATATAAACTAAATATCACCCTATTTAATTGAAAATATTTAAATCAAAATTTAGTTCGAAAATTACCTCAACAATAAGGGGAATACGTATGGTTCATTCACGATCGGGCATAAGAAAGGCATGCGGAACCACGCCCATGATTGTAGAAGCAGAAGACATCCACCGATAGCAGTTTTCTTATAATTTGTCGCCCGACACATTTCTCTAAAGAGAAATGCCAAAACTGCAGCACCCCAACTATATCTTCCAGCTTCATCAAAATCGATCAGATGCCGCAACCACATACAATGCACCTGGTTGCGAGATTTGTCGGGCATCAATATTCCTCCAATTATTCGTAGAATATATGCCCGAGCACATGCCTTTGCTTGATCCTCTGAAGCATTTTCATTTAAAACCTCAAAATTAGCTTTCAACCAAGATAAAGCTATTCTACCTCCATTAAACTCTGGCGGAGCAGCTCCAAGATAATCAATGCACATTGATTGCCAATCACCATCCGCCATACCACACATCATATTTCCGTCGACGGGAAGCCCCAGATGCATAGAGACATCCTCCAACGTAATTGTTGCCTCTCCACATGGAAGGTGAAAAGTGTGTGTCTCGGGCCTCCACCTCTCAATCAGTGCAGAAATTAGGACAGGTTCGAGTTTGCAACCGCCTATAATTGTTGCAATATACCCGAACCCAGCAGAAGCCAAATATGGCAAAATACGTTCCGGTGTCGGTATACGTGGATTTTTAATAAAAGTTTCTAAAATACGATCAGCATCCTAAATAATATATATTATAAAAAGTAAAAATTAATATAAATTCATAATAACTTTAAAATAAAATAAATTTAAATATTAACATTAATTATAAAAAATATTACCATATCGCTAAAATGTCTGGAGATATGATCATTATCCAATCGCAACAGCATTTCGTTTTCCATTATAACTGTAGACAAAACAATATAATTAGCAAAAAAATTAATAATTCTAAATAAATAATAATTATATAAATTATTTTAATAAAAAAAATATTTACATAAATATATTAATATAAAAATAATAACTATTAAAAAATACTAACATAAAAATAAATTTCTTACCACTAATAACAAATTTAAAACTCAAATAGTTGGAGAATTTGAGTTATATAAGAGAGGAGAAGATGATTTTGGTGTGAAGAATGAGTGAGGGTTGAGGGGGTTTATATAGGGGAGGAGGAGGGGTAGTTAGGAAAAACGGATGGGGGCATTAATGACATTTAATGGAAGGCGCGTCCCCGGGGATGCGCCTTCCACACGTGTCTGCTGATATGGCAAAGGCGCGTCCCCGGGGACGCGCCTTTCACACGTGGCATCCAACTCAGCGAAAACACGGGTAAAGCGCGCCCCGGGGACGCGCCTTTGCCAACTCAGCAGAAAGGGTGCTAGTTTTGGAAATATTGGTCGAACGGTGTTAGAAAAGTAAATATAAAAATAAACGGTGTCAGTGGGGTAAAAAAGCCTTAATTTCCTAAGGCCTAGAACCCTAGCACAATTGAACATTGTAACCTGTCAGCTCCACATGTCATCCATGGACCCTACTCTCTTTTTTTCTCATCTAAAAAAAAGAGAAAATAAAGGCGAGAGTCAGACCACCCACACATCGCTCTCCTCTATCTCGCGTTCTGGCGAACCAGAACAAAAGAGGTGTGTGAAGTGTTGTTTATAGACTCAGCGAACCAGAATTCGAACCCAATAACTGGAATCTACACCACACAAACAACTTTCCATATTAAAAAAATTAAAAAAAGAGTGCTTATATATTAAAACAAAATAAACCCTAGAACAATAAAGAGAAAAAGAAAAGGCGCCTTCGTATATTATACACCCATGTCACCCTCTCTCACATTTAACCTTTTTACTTGTGTTTTCTCTCATTCCTCGCCACCCCTATATCTTCTCTCCTTTCCACTTGCAAACCTCATATATTATCGTTTTTCTTCTTTATATACTCTCTTTGTCACCATCTGGGTTCTTCTTCTTCTTTAGTTGGTTGTTGGTTTTTGGTGATGATGATGACTATGGCGGTGAAAGATGAGTGGATTCGGGCGGCGATGACGGACGACAACGTGGTGGTGGAATTACTTGTAATGCTCAAACAAGCGCAGGCTGCGCCACCGGCTCCGAAATCTGCGGTGGTTGCACTCAAATGGGGGATACGTCAGCCGAGGTCTAAGTCTATATCGATGCGATGCGAGGCCAAGAGACACGGAGATTTCAACGTCAGCACTAGACGTAGCCCCACAACGCCTCTTTCTTGGAGCGGCGGCGGCGGCGCTGCCTCTCCTTCCGCGGCCGACGGCTTTGAAGAGACCAGTAAACAAGCCTCTCGCTCCCCATCAGCCGCACCTTCCAGATCCAAGGTTGGTTTTTACTCATCTCTCGTTCTCGCTCTCAGCAGCTGATCTTTCGGTGTGTCATTCGTTGGTTCCTGTATCACATGGAAAATCACGTGCCACTACCATCTTCTTCGGTCGACGAAATATTATTGTCTAACTGGATAACTCCTTTTTGTTGTTTATACTCCTAGTTTGCAGGTCAAATGACCATTGAACCTTCGTTGTTCAATCTCCTAGTTTTCGTTGGTTCCTATTTCTTTCCGTTTCATGTAAACCAATACTTTTTGGTTTTCTGGAATCTCAATTGTATTTTTGTTCTTCTGGGATCTCCTCCCCTTTTTTCCTTACGTTTCTCGTTATCTTCAACGTTTCAGTGTGGGCTCGATCTCTCCGACCATCGATTTAACGGGACAATATCTATAACAACATGATTAAACAAGCAGTACCATGTTTTTTCTATTTGGACTAAAATGCCTTTCCGCTTTTTAGGATTTTTACGGTTTTCACGCAAGGACAACACTGTAAGCAGGTTGGAACTCCTTTGACGTTTTCTCGCCTCGTTTTGGTCACCTGTCATTCTATTGTTGCCCCTTTCTAGATTTACTAAATTACCTTTCCAACTCCCTCTAGATTCTACTCACCGGCCCGGACAATTTTGTCAGGAGATGGAAATGGCTATCCCTGGGCCCATCCACCATCCAACCGTGTGAACCGGGAAACTTCCCCGTAGAGGATCTCCTTAAAGGGCATTTTGGTCATAATAAAATAAGTAGGGTCCACTAAGAGAGGGTGTTGGTATGCGTTCTGGGTTTGGTGTAATGTTGGTAAGGGGTGGATGGTGGCTTTTTTATTTGGTTTGTGAGGAGAGATTTTATCAAGTGTGGCGCGGGTACTGTTAAATTCTGTGGGTCTTCCCTTCCAACGATATCTGTAACTGTGCTTGTAGTTTTTATACTTCGACCTTTTTTTATGGCCTTAGGCCTTTGCTTTTTCCGAGATGGGATATCTTTTAATGTCTGGACCCCACACTTCCCATCATCTATGATTATGCATCGGATGGATCATGGACCGTATGATTTCTGGAAAATTTATTCGGTGCTGGGAAGCGTAGGTTTATACACGTAGTTAGCCCATAACTCTTCGCCGTCAGACAGGTCATACGATAGAAAGTCACGTGATGTCGACCGGAGTTATACAATAGATATCGGCATAAAACATTGAATTCAATCATGTGTCTAACGTCCTTGTGATAATGACGTGGCGTGTTACCATTGGACACTTGTGTCAGAACTCAGAAGGAGCGGCTGGGTCAGTGGCATTGGCTTTCCAATTTCAACTCCGCTTTCCTCTGAGATGATCTCCAAACCCTCTGTTGGAGCAGCCTGGAAAGCTTATTATCGAAGTTAGATTTTAATTGTTTTGAGGGATTTAGTTTACCAACTCTCTTATGCTTTGAGACGAGTATTAATCCTCTTAAGAAATTTGTTGGTTCTTGCCCTGGGCATAAGTTTGATGATTGGTTTATGTATGTTGCAGGGTACTGCTGGCAATGAAACCACTAGCACAACTACCAAGAGATCGAGAAGGAAGAAGGTAAAATAGTTTATCTTTACTGTTCATTTTTTTTGCTGGGAAAATGGTTTATCAGCAAGAGAAATATGAAAGATGATTCCTGTGTATCTTAACTCTGAAGCATTCGTCATATTTTTAGACATTTGCTGAACTTAAGGAGGAGGAGAGTCTGCTTTTGAAGGAAAGGGTTTGTTTGGAAAAGGTGCGTTGAATTTTCTTCAACGTGTTGCTTTGCTTGAACTCCACATGTCCCCTTGTTTGCTTCTAGATAAATCTTACAGTCGTATTCCTGTTCGTTGAACAGGAGATGGCGTCTATGCGTGCTACTTGTAAAGAACAGAGAGCCAGGAATGAGAACTTGAAAAGAATTAAGGTCAGCAAAATATTTCTCAAGTGTCTTGAGTGTACCAATATGGCCTTCACATTAATCACTATCTCACGAAATTTTTGCATATAATTGGCCCATCAAGAAACCCCTATTTCCTTTTTGAGAAATATTATTTTATTGACCTTTTTCTGATGTTAACTTCTATTATTGCAGCTTGATTTGAACTTGCAAACAGCAAAAAATGAAGTTGAGGAAGTACCTTCTTGTTTACCCCGTCAGAGAGTCCCCTCGACACATGCCCTTGATAATTGTAAAGGACTGTTAGATTCTTGCAATGCAGGGAAAGCTGTACTGCCTGATCTAAATATGATGCCTGTTGAAGATGATTCCATCACCGAGACTTTATCTGGCACCACCTGAAAAAGATGATTTGACTACTTTAACCCTTCTCGCAGCAGAAGGTTGTGGGAATCCGGTGGTGACTTGCAGGAAAATAGTGACACTGGCCTAGGCAATGAGCTATGTGCTGATTAACTATACTGGTTGATACTCGGGTCAAGCAACGAATATTACAGGTTGGGCTTGCTTCAGTTGGCAACCCTTGAAAAGGCAGAAGAAGCTGACCGGCCACAGAAAAGATATGCAGAAGTCCAAGCCTGTAGATGGCAAAGCTTCATGTCATGGTGCAGGCAGCAGGCTCCTACATTCCTTTGATATTCGTTGGGGTATAACCTCGTTACTTGATATTTACAAATTTATATCGAAATGACTGATTCTTTGTAGATGTAATCTGATGCCTTAGCCGTATAAACGTCTTGAAAACTAAGCGCAGAATTATGTTGTTACAAACTCTGTTGAAATTTCAGGAAGGGTTGATATTATTTCTCTATAATCTTCATGACTCGTGAAATTTCTCGAATTGTTCCAATTTTCACCAACCGGAACACATGGCTGTATATTTGACTGACGCTTACCTGGACCAGGACCTGAAGCTTGTGTTTGGTTTTAGCTAGTAGCTTTTGTCAGTGATGTTCCTTTGACTGTCAAAAGGTTCTTACCTGATGATTGAAATTTCCGATCTTTGAAAAAAAAATGAGCGTTGTAAGAATCACAGCTATTAGAGTTTTGGTCAAAAACGATGCCATTAATTTAACCCAAACCTTTGAAATTGGGCACACCTGTTTTTTGTTTTTATCCTTGCACTTTGATACCACATGTAGTATTTGTCGGATTATGCATAACGGATTTTCATAGTATTTGCCGGATTGTCAACTTTTTTGTCTTTAATAAATGCTTTTCAGCCGAGAGAAGAGAACACATCCAAATTCCAAAAAGGGTACCCGGCCTTAATCAGTTATCGGATTGTACCTACGCTAGGCAACTTGACCGCTGTGCACATCATAAACACATGGATGCTGGAAAATACTGTCCTAAACTCGTATACCCATTTAAAGTACACAGTCAGTAGACCCCGAGCTCAAATTCAAACATCAAACGGACTTGAAAATTGTGTTTTCCTTGGTTTACTTGTACCTCAGCGATTAAAACTCCAAGTGAGGAAATTGATTAATTGTTGTGGCCTTGTGGGGGGTTTCCCAACAAATGACTTGAGAACCAACTGTCAAGCATGACGAACCGATATCATGTTGAATGTTTCAGTACAGTGTCAGCTGCAAGTGGACCATTATGGCTCTTGTTCTCCACTATGATTCCTGTCACAAGCTATTGCTATTGCTATTATTGTTCATGGACATCGATCGCTCCTGTTTTGTCTGCTTTTTGGAGTTCCATTTGCCATCCAAGCCGAATTAAAGAGCAATATGGTGAAAAGGGCAACATTTCAAACCCCACTGGGCACTGGCTTAGATGGTGTAAGCAACCAGGTTCTCAGTTGTGCGAACGTGATCTATGAGGAAGCATTGCATTCATAAAGGGATTAACCAATATCCATGCAATGGAAAACGTAGGGCAGCCCTAAACCTAGGTATAAAGCCATTTATCTTTTCTTCTTCGCCATTAGTCTGCAAACATATCTTCTTGCCTTCACCAGGTCCGAACACTTGATAAGCACAGCCCAACTCCCTACCAAAAGATGCGTAACAACTACCGCATTCCATTGTTATTTATATTTCTTGACAATTAAAATGTATAACGCCTGCAAAATGATTAACGCCGGCGAATATTTGATCGTTAACCTTCATGTTTAACCTTCTTTGATGGAATCTCCTCTTCCAACAAACTATCATCGACAGTACTAATTACCACGTGTTTTTAATTGTTTCATCAATTATGATTATATAGTTGATTTCGAATATGTTTTATTCTTCTTTTGTCAATTCATGAACATCTTCAATGTACACAATCTCATCTCATTTTTATCGACAATGATGAATTTACAATATCTATCAAGAAGCAAGTGAAAATTCAAAACCGTAAAATATAGTTTACGAGTTTATCCAAAATGATAAATAGAATGCATATTTTTACCATTAAGTTAGTTATATCCTCATATATGATATAATAAATAGATTGAAATCAATTAGTTGAACCAAATTGTTAAAGAAAATTATTATTTCCTTTTCTAAAAAACAAATCCATGATTGTTATTCGATCTATGTCCATGGCTTTCCATGTGGGTGAGTTTGCATAGGATAGCGAAAATTAACTTCCATTAACTGTACTGTGACCATGAAAACTGTTGAGTTCTTTCATGCAACAAAAGAAAATGGTGCGTCATCACATAAATTACTTCATTTTTTCTATCTCAATAAAAGTATATAAAAGCAACACTAAGTCTAGTAAAAGGAGGAAAGTGGATACATTTTTTACATATTATAAATACACCATTGATCACTAATATTTTGGTCACTAGTAAAAGAAAATGATTCTATATCTCTCTTATTTTAGTCACTAATATTACACTTTTTTCTTTATAATTTGTTTAACAACCGTCTAATATTTAACTTGAAATGTGATATAGTATAGCATAATAACAATTTTAATCTTAAAATTATATATTCTATTAATTTGGTCCTAATTCAAATAATTTAATAATTTAAATCTTGATCTTTTAAAATTTATAAAAAGGTCCTCAATATTGAGGGATAGATTTATTGGATCATTTCAATTAGGAGCCAAATGAAAAGGAACCATTATCATAAAACTTCTATCGGATCTTGTCCATTGATATTTCAACACACCAATTTTCACCCGCATGATTCAAAAGCCTGCAATATTAAAATAAAAATATTAATGATTATACATAAGAAAAAATGCATATTGTTCAATCAAGAAAAGCTACTTACTCGCCATATGATGATTAACATGGCCATTTTTCTTACAAGAATCTAACCTTTTTCTATTATATTTTTGGTAAAATACACTATAGGTCACTCAATTCTTAGTTTTTGGCTAAAATGGGTCATGTTTTTGGTCTTCTAAAGTTATAATTTAGTGACTTGCATAAAATACTATAAACATATCATCGATTACTAGTGCTAGACAGATTAATGACATGACTTAGTATAATATCAATTTTAGTTATAAAACTTATACATTCAATCAATTTGATTATAATAAAAATAATTCAATAAATTTAATAATTTATATTTAAAAAATCTTCAGTCAATCTCTTTATTTCATAGATTATTTGTTTTTCTCTCAAAAATATTGTATAACTTTTATGTTATAATAATAATTTAACGATAAATTATTGTTGCTTTATGGTACAATGTAATTATTCAACTGTCGTTTTGATATGATGGACTCACATGATTTGAAAGTATCACAAAACGATATTAAATCGGCGTTTTTTTAAAAAAATCACCGGTGATCGATATATTTATTAATCTAACACCGGTCAGATTATATTTTCTGATCTAACACCCTTAATAGTAAATCGCTCCCCTTACATCGCGCTATATACTGATTTGACATCACATAGGGTATAGTACGATCCTGGGACGCCGGGACGTTGGATCAATCAATAAAAAAGATTTAATATAAAAAAATCAACAGTGTTTACGCGTGAACTTAGCGTAGGAGATAAAAGTCCAGAGTGGAATTATAGTTTGATTTAAGGGAACATTGCTAATATAAAATATTATTCGAAAATTTTAAGAGATCAGTTATCACTAAGGTAAGGCGCGCCGCAGGCCGCGCTATACTCACATGTATCCATGTCAGCATAAGACGCGTTTTAAGGGGTGCGTCTTATCTCACGTAGCGTCAAATCAACATATAACGCGGTATAAGGGGCGCGCTTTACTGCTAAGGGTGTTAGATCGGGAAATATAGTCTGACTGGTATTAGATCAGTAAATATACCGATCACCGGTAATTTTTCAGAAAAAACGCCGACTAAATCAATAAAAAAATTCAAACATAAGGTGTTTAATTTATTGAATTATCCCAAATAAAGACAAAATTATTAGTATATATAAAGTTTATAGTCTAAAACAATTATTATATCAGTCACATTAAAGGTTTGTTTTAATTTCAATCACGAAATTATCTATTGTAATATATTCTAATTAAGTAATTAATATAACTTTTAAAAGAAAAAAATTGACAATTATTTTTAAAAATGGTAGGGAGTTTTATAATATGTTTAAGAAATTAATGTAAATATAATTAAAAGACATAAGGAGCTATCAGGAAAAGATCGTTTTTGCATAGCAAAAGGTGGTGAATTAAACTGCTGCTATTTGGTGTTAACAATACCTGCATGTCAGACAATAATAAACCTCCTCCACCACCATATTCATAAAAAATAGCAGATATGTTCACCTGAAAATCACTCTCACTCGGTCTCCTCCTTCGCTATAGACATTAGTTCCTCTTCTATCGCTTTATGTCAAACCCTATCTTTACCACGTTTCTTACCAATTACCTCTCTCATTTGTCTTAACCCTTCTTAATATTACTTAAATCTCTCACCTAAGTTAATTTGCTCTCTCACACCCCTCTCCACCAACGCAAAAACTATATCTTTAACTCAACTAGTCCTTCAAAAGAAAAAGCCTGCCCGTTTCCCTTTTAACCGTGACCTCAGAATCATCATCGTCTTCATCCTAATGTTTTTTGTATTTTTTTTCAAATACGTTTTTATTGAAAAACAGATCGTAAAGAGGGTTACGTGGCGTTTCACCCCAACCATCTTTCTCAAGGCCTCCGTTCTCAATTACCGACCAACAACAACAAAAGATCAATTACCGGAAAACTCCGCTCCCAATTGGTTAAACACGGCTCTCCTCCGTTCTCAGCAGCCTCCGCAACACCATGCTCACTTCTCGGACCTTAACTCTGTCACAACCTGAAAAAAAAATAATAAATATAAGCAATTTGGTGAAACGTGAGGGTCAAATTAAAAGCTTCCAGAACTAGTAGGATAATTTTAAAGTTTAAGAAAATTCAGGGACATAACCATGAATTTTACCATTTTGCGTCGAATTATTAATAAATGCGTGAATTTGGTTTCTGTAAACCAGAAACAAATTCCAAAATATTTTCATTCCCCGCACCCCTCCTTCCAAGGCTGATTTCTCTTCGGTCCTACCAACGTTC